CTCCTCCTCCTTCGTCATTCAAAACAGCATCGGAGAGGTAGTGCTTGAGAAAGACTCTTTAATCCTAACGCTTTGATAATGAAAAGAGGTTCTTTAAGTGTAACTGAAACAAAGAACTTTTATCACCAGAGCATTCCTCCCTGTCAGCCCTGCGGTGGTTCAGGACACAGCGCTTGCAGCAGGGACCAGAATCTGGTCCTAAGTATCCGTATGTTTCTCTCTGGACCTGCTTAGTCTCAGACTCCAAGGATAATAAGCTCTGGGGACATAATTAACGGGCAAAAATCTGTAGACGTATAGCTCCCTTCTTCACACTCTGAATAATGTAAAGCGACTGTTCATTTGACTTAGGAGCTTCTGTAAGGTGTAGTCCGACCCAATCCCTGGCCTTGACTCATTCAGCGTATGCATGACAATAATAGAAGAAAGTGAAATAGATGAAGACAAAGGCCAGCAGTGTAAGACTGATTCTGACTCTTATCAGAACAAAGGGTGCAATTTCTAATCTCCAAAAATCATGATGAGATCTGAGCTCTGATGACCGTGGGATGGCCGCTCAAGCTAGATAAAGATGAGATGAGGTCAGTAGATTGGAGATGATGACAGGAAACAATGGAGGGAATATCTGCATTTTCCAGCAAAGGCTGAGAAATTGGTCATTTCCTAGATCTGGATTATCAGTTTCAGAACATCAATGTGTTTCTTCTCTATCACCACACCATCATGGTAACCAAGGATGTTTTTCCCCATGATTGTTTTATCTTTTTGGCAGAATGCAGAAACAGTGGCATGTCTCTGCCAATTTAGATTCACATATTGCAAACCTCTTTACTTAGGACTTTTCCAAAAGATCATAAGGAAAATTGAGCTTGCATAGCATGCAGCCATCTGCTTACTCTATGGTGTGATGGCGGCACTCTGCTGAATGCCACCTTATTTGGCTGTAGCTTACAGTTTTAGCTCTGCTCTGCTTATGGACTAAATCCCGTTCCTTATTTCTTAAAGGAGTTGGGACTTAATGCCAGCATAGCTGCAATGCAGCGTGGCAGGGTTCAAAGTCCTCACCTGGAACTCTCTTCCCTCCAAGAGCATGATAATCGCTACCTTCAAATGGAAGCACTGAATCCAGCCAGCTGACTTTTCCAGGGCATAATAGGAAATAATCTAGACCCCAGTCAATTAAAAATATGGAAGCTTTTTTTAAGATGCTGAGCCTTTAAGTGGAAAAAAAGAATTATGTTTTTCCTACTGCTATAACTCACAACACTGCTGCTCGTTCCTGCTATGTATATTTGCTCATTCTATCTACTTTTTATGACTTCATGCTCACAGTTGCAACTAGGTTTAGGAAGAGGTGGAAGATGTAAAAGGTCAAAATGGAAAAATTCCACTGGAATAGTTAAGCAATAGATTTGGCATGCAACGTTCTTAATTTGTTCCAAAGCCAGAGCAAACAATTAGGCAGGTAAGTCGGAGCGCCGTTTTTTCCAGTGTGCCTGGAGACAAGTTATTCACTATGCTACAATCTGATGTTCTACCCTGGGACAGAAGAGTTGAGGTCAAGGGAGAAGAGCTGCTGTGCTGGAAGAAAATAACTATCAACAACTGCCTTTTTTGCTTTATAAGCAGCTACAGAATGGTTCAGAACAAATAGTTACACAGACATGAATGAAGGCCACTCTGTGGTTCCTCATTTCTCACTCTGGGTTTCTGATTTTTTCCCCAAACCAGTTTGATTATGAACAGTGAAGCCAAGAACATTCTGTAAATTTGGGAAATTGCTGGCTGTGAAGTACTTCATTACATACAGAGACAGTGATGGAACAAGGATGCTCGGGAAGAGACACCTCAGCTTAAGAAAGCTGGGGATGGAAGAGAGAGAGAGCAGAGCTGCAGAGGGGAGTGAATGCAAAGGTGGGGGAAGGCTGGTAGGAGTGGCAGCAGAGGCAATTCAGTAGAAAAGTAGAAAATGATTAGGCATGTAAGGACCAGTAGGCTGGGGAAAGAGGAAAAAAATAGATGGAGTGTAGGTTTGGAAATAGGGGCCTAGAGCATGCAGAAGAGAACAGAGACAATGAAGAGGAACTGCAAGAGGGGAAAGACGACTCTTTCTGACAAACCCTGATGTGTCTCTTCAGAGAAAAAGGCTTTTGTGGATGTTGGAGAGAAAGGACTGCAGCTAGGCTTACAGAGGGATGAGGAAGGGAGGGCAAAGAGTATAATTAATATCATGCTGAATTAGTGAAAAGCAATTTTCAGTGAAAAGCAGGATTCAAATGAAAGTGGAAGCTTGACTGAATTTCAGAAGAAAATCTGCCTAAAGTGACAACACAGTCTCGCTTCTCTATTTCAGCTACCAGCAACAAGCAGCACCATAGCAAGACTGATGCTTCTGCCAAGAAATAGCCAAGTGGGAAAAGAAAGACGAGAGATGATTCCTTAAAGCTGGTGTCTCTCTTTGACATGAACCCATCTCTCTCTTGCTGGAAATGAAGCTCTGGTTCTTTCAACAGTCATATCTTCCCCAGTAATATTCTCCTCACTGATATGCCCTAATTAGATCCTCCTCTCTCCCTGCAGATCCTTCCCCAACACCACAGACATCTCTGTTAGCTGAATGCCATCCTCAGTGCAGCTTCTTAGAGTCAGGAAAACCTGCTGGGCTGGGAAGGGAAAGCCCTATCTGACCACATCCGCCTGCGACAAGCCCCTGTAATGACTGGGTGAGCGCCTCCTCTGCATCTTGACTCATAACTCTTACAGATTTTTACTTTACCAAGGAGTAAATCTAACCCTGATAAAGCATTTCCTTAGCAGGGACCACAGAAAACTAAACGACGCAGTTGGGGAAACACCTGCAAATAAGACACTCAGGGGACCAATTCATCTTGCATTTTTCATTAAAAGAAACAAATCAGCTGAAGCACACACACTTACCCATTCCAGACCATGTGCATGTAATAAGCACTATATACAAAACGGTCATTCCCTAGGCATGGAAAATAATCAGTCCTCCTCTTTCTCTCATAATGCCCAGTAGATGTCCAATGCAAATTCCGTGAGCTCTCTTTCCCCTTCTTCCCTCCATATATACACACACATTGGACCCACAGAATTCCTTGAAAGTGCAAATATGCCCCTAATGAGGAGAGGAAATTAGTGGATTTAGTTCTTTTCCCCAAAAGAGCTGCCATTTTCTAAAACAGACTGTGGAAAGCTAAGGGCAGCCATCAAAAGGCTGGATGAAATAACATCTTACATCCATTCCCTAAAATAGTAATTAAAAAAATTATCCAGACACTTTTTAGGAAAATACAAGGGACTAATTAGCACAGTATTTTGAATCTCCCTTGACAGAGAGGGACATTTTAAGCAAAACTCTGGTTACTATGAGCCAGACAGGAAGTCCTGAATTATTTCCCCGCAGAGTGCAGTTTCACTTAGCAAGATGTGATTTACCAGAGAAATAAAATTACTGCAAGGACCCCTAGACTAGGTTCCAGATTGTCCTACTTACCTGTTTGAGTGCCTTCTTGCTGTGCTTCTGGGATGGGGAGATGACTTTGCCTGTTTGGATGGAGGGTGACGGGCAGCCTGACTGAGGGGAGGATGCCTGTGACAGTCTAGATGACACTGTAGGGGAAGGAAAAAAACCATACATAATACATAATCCAATTTTCACATGTTTGCCTGCAGTGCATTAGCCAGTCCTCACCATTTCAGATCATGTCACAAGGCTCATGAAAATTGCACCTCTAGCAAGTGTTACTTTTTGCATAAAGAATCATTTCTACTTCCTTCCCATCAAGAGGGCATGTTTCCTCTGCAAGCCAATAGGAATTTCTGTGACTGACTTCAGATCTTTCATCTCTTGCCCATCTCTTTTTTTTTTTTATGATCTTAATCTTAGAGTAGCTGCTCTCAAACAACACTGCAGCTTGACAAAAAGCTCCAGCTTCATGCAGGTTTAGATAATTCAAATCTAAATAGACAGGCATGGGCAATTGTTGCCTTCATCTGGTTACACTGGAATTACCTGTGGTCAGACACCTCATTGATGCAGTTTCTGATCAGATTAAATCTGCATCCCATGCAGGAGGCGGATGATAAATGACATGCAAACAAAATGGAACATGACCATCACCCGCTCCTTTTTAAAAAGAAATATTGGGAATACACAATATACTAATAAATAAGCCTATATGCTCAATGAATGAACCTAGATGATTAACAGAAATCTAGTCTTAGCCATATGGAGCTCTAAAGCAGGGCTTCTAGCTGCAGCTAATTCAGACTTTCAAATAGTCTCACAGCCACCAATAAACCAAGGACAGGAGTTAAATCACAGCTTCTCATGTGGTTTGAATACACCCATTTGGCACAGGACACTCAAAACCCTCTGCTCTGGCAACAGTGGGCTGATGTATATGTGGCCACAGCCAGGTAAATCATTCGGTGTTCATTATTAGTCACACCTGATCACAGTTTTGCCTCTACTATCTTAGCAAATGTGTACGTATATAAGAAGCCAGGTAATCAGCAGACTAGGGCTAGTCAAAGCTGTTTAGTTGCTGAGACTGAAACGGGACAACTGCCACTGCCTGGACGGTGGTAAGGGAAGAGCTAAGGCGACGTGGCTCATAAGCCAAAGGCAGCTTTATCCAAGTTCTTATATTGGCACCCATGGCTGAACTGATGAGGGACACTAACTGGAGCCAGCGTGGAATAAAATCATAAACAACATTTGCTAAATATCTGGAAAGATCCAGATATAAAACACATTTGCTCTGTTGTAAGCAGGGGAGAATGTCAGATGACTAAAATCAGCAGGCTTCAGGTTCTCAACCGACAAAAACAGGCATCAACACAAAAAAACTTGGTATCTGCATATAAACAGAAGAATCATAAAAGCAAAACTACCTTAATTAGCATGACCTGTATTGCATGATGGCCATAACAAAACAGGCACTACATAAACACTGCCAAGAACATCACCCACACCAAACTCTACAGGTAGATCTGCAAGACTGATTGGGTATAGATGCAGCAGGTTAAAACAAAAAAAAATTTAGCAAATTCAGTGCGTGTGCGTGTGCGTGTGCATGTGTGTGTATCCACACACGAATTTATCTGGATAATAAGACTGTAAGATCAAGCTAAAAAACTAAGTGCAAAGGAAGGTTAGATTCCAGCGAAGGGAGGAAAACCCCTAGCGTAAAGGACGATAAATGGCTTCACATGCAAACTATGTAATTTATTGCTTCCCGAAACTATTAGTTCTAGAACAGATATGAGGCTAAACCAGAATCCTTGTGGGACAGCGAGGAGTCAAGAGATAATGCCGACAGGGCCATTCACGAGCTGCAGCGTGATTCTGTTCAGGATCCACAGGGAAGGGAAGCTCCCAAAAACAACACAGTGACAAGGAGCATCAGAAAGCAACGTTTCAACAAAAACGCACTGAAACTAGTAACGAGTTACAGAAAGTAAAATTCTCATATGTGGCATAGACACTTAAGTGAGAAAAAAGCCAGCAAGATTCTTCGAAGGCATACACAATTGAGATGAGGTAATATTAGGCTCTGAAATGTCGCGATAAACAGCTCTTAGGCAAAGAGATATTAAGAAACTATTAATCTAAAAGTCACTGATACCATACCCAGATGATCTGTATGCATGATAAAGATGATACAGTTGCACAGCAAGCAGTATTACAACTGAAAAATTAAAGAAACCATTGTAACAAAGAGCCAGAAATCAAGGGTTATACCCGTATTTTAAAATAACAGTAAGAATGTCCCAGAGATTTACTGGCTTTGCAAACTTGCACTTGTCTCTCAATTTGGTTCAATTCATACTTCTAGAAGAATAATATGAGGCTGGAAAGGTCACAGTGCAATAGCACCTGGAGAGGAACATCACGTCCCACTAAGGGATTGCAATTCTTTCAACGCATCAATAGAGAGTAGTGGAAAAAAAGAAAGCTGCTCGATAGGAGTTCGTTCCGACTTCCAGAAATTTTCAACACACTCGCTTAAAAAAGCTTCTAAAATTATTTCCTTATTGGGTAAAAGACAAAGAATTGTCACTAGTCTAACGCTGAATGGGACAGAAAGCAAAGAACAGAGCAGAGCAGAAATCAGGCAAGAAGTTACAAAAATTCTTCAAGGTTACACACCAAATAGGAAGCATTTTAATGCTTAGTGATAAACTGGAAGGCAGGAAATAGCAAAGGAACAAATACTTAGTTTGGTTAAGATCAGAGAGAAACAAGAGAAACTTCAGAGAAATATAGCCCAGAGAGCAGAGGCCCAAAAATACAATTAAAAATGTCCAAAAGAAAAAGTACTTTTTTGGAGAAAAAAAATACAAGCTGCACACAGAACCTGTAGTAATCTAAATCATCTGTGTCAGCTCAGGGAAGAGATCTGTTGCAGCTGACAGGCATATGCGAATGGACAACAAGACGATGCAATGCCTAAGGATGGGAAGATGAAGCATCTAAGATTCTCAGCGTCTGTCTTTAATTGGACGCTCGCGTCCTGTCGTGCTGATTGCACAATATCAAAAAACTTATTACAGAATTTGACGGGATTCAGGAAAGTAAAGAATATGGTTAAGGACATGGAAAAATTAGGGAGACCGAGAGAACGGAGATAATTCTAACAAGAAGGAACATGATGAAAACGTACAAAATCCAGTTACGCGGCTTCATGCCTGGGCGCCCCGTTTGCACGGGGAACCCCGGGGGCGCTCGCAGCTCCGGGCCGCCCGCTCGGCGGACGTGACCCTTACCTGGACGACCACGGCGCCCCTCTCCCAGCGCAGCCAAGGCTTGCTTGCGGTAGTTAAACATGAAGAAAACACAAGCTCAGCGTCACATTTAACACACAAATGCACAGAAGCAGATTGACTGTTGCTGGTTTTGAGACCTTTGAATAGCAGGAACATAAACCACATCCTCTTTGAAGCCTATTGAGGCAGAAACTACCAGTTCTGGGTGAAGTAGAAGCATTAAGCCAGCTACGGGCTGCTTTTCTCCTCTCCAGTTTCTCGTATGCTGTGACGTGCATTTTAAACTGCGTTCTGCCCTTTGAACAAGGCGAGCGGGTCTTTTCAAACGCCGAAGGGCAACAGGGGCCAAGAGCGGGCGCACCTGGGAGGCGAGCGCAGCCCGGAGCTGCTGCCCAGCCGCGCGGCTTCAGTCCCTGCTGCGTGCTCTATCCGCAGAAAGGCTCGTTGTGCTGCAGCGCCTGCGGCGCTTGAACTGACAGCTGCAACCACAACGGCTTCGGAGGGACAAACAGGAGAACTTAAAAAAGCCGAACCAAGGCACGGCTGCTCAAACGCAGCTGCGGGCTGCCGAAGCAAAGGCAGAGTCGATGGGAGGACGGAGCCGGGTGAATACGCGGCTGGGCCTTTGGTCAAACTCTCCCAGAGTTTACACCCTTTGAAGAACACTACGTGCAGCCAGAGCAGAGGAATAATACAAAAATGCGCAGGTACAGGAGCCCCAACAAGAGCACCACGGCGCCACGAGCGGACCTGGTTCCTGCTGGATTTTTGCACAGGACTACAGAACGTGTAAAAAGAATTTAAGTAAAAGATGTTCCAGCTTCTTTCAGAGAAGTATTCATCCTTACAACTTGAAAAATAAGTGGAGCAGCGATTATGAACTCGATGCCCTTAAACGCCTTAATAAGAGCACTTTGGCGGCAGGGGGGGAGATGCTGCAGGAACAATTACACAATGCAAAGCAACACAGTGAAAGCAGTGGGCAGAGCCAGATGCTCTATTTGATTTGAAAATACTGAATGAGGTGCTTGGCACTGTTTCTACATAAATCAAGGTTTCCTTGACCAGCTACAGAGGCTGTGGGACTGTTTCTGACAGAACAGAATTTCAGCAAATCTTGTGAGTTAGAAACAGGAAACAAACTCCAGGAAACATCCCCCCAGGGAGGGAAGAGATAATGGATGGAGATGTTATCCTGATAATGCAGGGGTAAAGGACTAAAGGCCAGTGACGGAAACAAAAAACCGCTCAGGTGTTTGAGAGCGCCGACTTGGAAAAGCACTTAAGACATATGCACCCATAGGCAAGATTATCTAGCCCCCAAACGAATACCTGCAAACTCGGCCTGAAGCTGTCACGACAGCTGGTGCATTCGCACGGTTTCATTGCTTCCTGCTGTCGGCTGGGCTGGGAAGAGAGTTTAGTGCCAGGTGAAATCCTGGCCGTTCGCTCTTGGATTAAAGCAGATGAGACAGAGGGGAACGCGCGTGGGCCAAACCTCCCCAAACCTGGCTTGGTACGTGAGACGCGAATAGACCCGACGAACTGCTGTGTCCTGTTGCAAGAGCGGACGCTGGCAGAAGATTTGTCTGCGGTCAGTCTCAACAGACAGCGACTCATTTACACTTTAATTTTTTCACTTGCGGTGTAATTGACACAAAAGTATGCCTTCTAAGAAATGGCATTACAACAAAACCTTAGTTACGTTAAAGGTCAATTAAATGAGAAATTTCGGTCTGGTAAGATTTGATGGCATTTTACAAGGCAGTTGGTTCCTTTCAGATTTGCAAACTCTAAACCATTAATCAATCAATACTCTAATGAGTTTTCATAAAGAAACTGTGCTAACAGCAGCCAAGAGATAGTTAGACTTATTTAACAGTCGTTTATGGAAGAAGATGGGCGATTAACTCTTTTAGAAAAATTGCTGTAATTTACTGCAAATATTAAGCGCAAGATGCAGTCTAAGCATCTTTCCTAAACTAAACAGCAAGACCGATTCAGTTGCATCAAGACATTGCCTCATGTCTTTGCTTTGTAGAGCCTGAGGACTTCCGCTTGAGGCTTGAGCCTGAGGACCACAGCCTCAAATTAGGCAACTCAAGCATTATCTGACTAAGCATCCAGTTTAATAGTGTATTAATGACACCACCTGTTTTCCAACTCGGCCAAAAGGCACCAGCGGGAGGAGGGTGAGAGCTCCTCTCCTAATGGCCTGTGGCTCCGATCCTCACCAGGGCAAGAGTGGCCACAGCCGGACTGGATCCCGTGTCTGACAACAGCCTGTGCTACTGCCAAAAGAGAAGCACTAAGACTCAGAAAGTCTCATCTGATGTTAGATATTAGCACAGTCCTGTACAATGAGACTGAAAATAACAGAAAAGTGAAGATGCTTGTATCATTTTTCCTTTTTTTTTTATTTTAACTCTCCTTTTCCCTGGAAGTCTTGTAACAAGTTATTTACTTTTTTGGATGTGAATGCAGCAGGATATTTGTCTGCTTGAAATCCCATTGGTTTCCAGTCCACATCTGGTGACTTGCCTAAAAGGATATTTAACAATCAGATTCCAGCTCATGTTTTTCTTTCACAAATATTGTCAAATTTATTTGACAACAGCGAGAAAATGCATGGATACAGCTGATCCTGCTTTAGGGCAGCAAGATCAAACACATGACTGTAATGTTCCTTTAAACTCAGTATTCCTATTAGGCAGAACTACAAAAATATTAGCTCATTCAGTCAATAATTTACTGTTTGATTTACTGCATATCCTCCCTTGTCATTCGTGCGCAGCGTGGCTGGCAGGCGAAGTGGACTATCAAGAGAAAGGTTCAGTCCAACAAAGAGCACAACAGTTTCGGCCAACGCCAGGAAACACCTGGAGATGGACTGAGCCAGGAAGGAGCATTCCCTAGGCAGGAGCAGGGAAATTGAGGGAGAACTTATGGTCCAGCAATGGGGATGGGTGACAGAAGTCTTTCTTTTTGGCAGGCGCTCAGGCAATTCCTAAATCAAGACCAAGATTTTTCTCTGCAACTCATGTTGCAGAAAAGCCTGGCTGGTTTTCTCAGACTTGTTTCAGAAGAGATGCAGTGGAAGCTGCTGAAGAAAGTGGGCAGGAAAAATGACCTTGCATTTATGCAATAGTTTTATTCCAGTGGCTCCAAAAGATTAGTCTTAGGGTCACTCAGCATAAGGTGAACGCTGGAAGTTCACTTTACCAAATACTGGCACACCGATATCTTGACTGGAATAAAACAAACCGTTTAACAGTACGAAACAAAACAACCACTACAGAAAGAGCGCTCAAAAGAAAGCCAATATACATCTGTAATTGAGAATTTGGGAAGCAAACTATTTTGAAATCAGAAGAAATAACCAACATAACAGTTGCTAAACCATGTGAGACTCAACTGATACGGACCACAACTATCTTGTGCATGAGCTACCAAGACAACCAAAACCGACCTACCCAAATACAACGAGCGTACAAACAGTATATGGACCCCACTGCAACAGGTTCAGGGATGCAAGCAAAGGGTACGGCCTTCTGCACAGCTCCGCAGCTGTCTGGAACTGAGTTCTTCCTGCATCTCTCATCCTTTATCTTTTAAAGATTGGAGATAATTATAGCTTGAAACATACTATGCAACAAAAGAAACAGAAGCTCCCGTCTCTCAGTAAGTGAAATCAAACTGTTTTGGAGCAATGACAGCGTTTCTGCTAAATTTATATTCAGAACGTTAGATGAAAACACTAGCAGGGGTAAACAGCTGGATAACCGCTTCCAAGAGCCGCAGCTAACTAACTGGCACTGCATATATGCAGAAATTGGGTAAGACATCCTGACAATTCACTCCACCCGCTAGACGTCTGAAAACTACTCCAGCTGCCAGGATAAATGGACTTTCTACCTGGCAGAGAAAACGCCCTCTTCTGCACAGTCGCCAGGCATGACATAGTTACTCTTTGCCTTTAAAAGGACCAAAATGCAGCACGATCTAGATGGAGTATAAAACACATCCTGCAAGCAGGTACTGCGGCAGTCCTACGCCGGCGGCAGCACGTGGCAAAGCCCCGCGGGCGCAGACCGTACTCACCTCCGCCTGCTTGCTGGAGCTCAGAAGCAGGAACTCGGCTGGGGTTTTGTTTGGGCTTGGGGAGTGTGGTATGAAAAGAAACTACAATAGTAGACCCAGAGTTCCTCCTGTCCAAGGGTTTGCATGCATTTCCATGAGGTTTTCTGCCTTAAATCTACACATCCAGAAAGCAAAAGCTGGACTTCACTCATTTGGAAAGGGAGTACAGTCAAGCTGAACTAAAAATACAACACTCCCCCCTTCAACTATGTGCAGTCATAAGCTTAAAATAACCCCATTTTAAACAGCTAATGGGATCCAGATGTATTAGATGTATTACTTGAAGAAGTCCTAGTGAAAGTCATTAAAATACATTTTGAGGAGCAATAAATGTCTCCTGTTAATCTACTGCCCTTCTTATTTTACAGGTATATAGTTTAGCAGAATGACGATGTAAACCCAGCCTTGAATTCATATTAAAACAAGATCAAACTTACAAGTGAGACCAACCAGTCTACACGTTCTCCCCCCTGCAACTGCTCCTCACTAAAACGAGGGAAGAAATAAGCCCAAAAATACTGGCCAACTGCAACTTTCCCAAACTCCTACTCCTGCACTTTGCCCTGGGTAAAGTTGAAACTTTTGCAGCTGTAACTAGGATTATACGTTTCTATTATCAGCTTCTGCTTTTACAAACAGAAAATAGGCAAACTATTCGCTTCACACAGACAGACTGGCAGATATTTGGCACTGGTAGCTCTGAGAAAACAAATGAAAGCGCTAAACCCGTCCGCCTGTGACAATTCCTACGTCCCCACGCTCCAGGGTCTCACCTAGGCTCTCCACCCTCTTCCTCTCCCAGGTTAAAGCTTCCTTAGAGTAAGTTTATTCACACGGACTTTTTTGGTTACACTGGGTAATTCCTCTACGCCAGGGAAGAGCATCACTCTCAAACTGGAAAACACCTTACGAAAGAGGGGAAAAGAGGGAAGGAGAGACAGGGCTCTGCAGGAGGAGAAGGAAGGAAGTTAGCTCCAGGTCGCTCGCCTGGAGCAGCCGAGCACCACGACGAGCACGGCATTGGAGCGCTTGGGGACAAATCCGACAAGCTACGCTGCGCGGACCAAGCACGCGTCCCACACGGACCGCACGGGACACCGAGCCCCCAACCCGACGCGGCGTCCACGACGGCTCTGCGCCGGAGGACGGGGCCGACGCGGGGCTCTGCCCCCGGGCCGGTGCAGAGCAGTTCTGGTTTCGGCCCGGGGCAGGCACGTGCTCCTTACCTGCGTGCCGCCACACACCCAGGAACATGCGCCGGCGCGGTGTTAAAAGGACGGCGACGTCCCCAGCCCGGCATGCTCCTGCGCTAATTATAAAGCAAACGAAACAAAACAAAAAAAAAGAAATGGCAAACGTGGGCCGACTGCCAGGGGAGGGCAGGGGACTACAAGGAAACGCTCCAGGGTCGGCACCCACGCTGCTCTTAGCGTTACCGAGCTTGCCGGGCGACGCTGCAATGGCAAATGCAGACGGCGACACACCTTCCTCAATGTTCACTAAAGTCAAATCGCGATCATCAAATTGTTTTCAATAATCAGCTCTTTTACTGATCTAAACGACATTTATTTAGCTGTTGTTCTGGCAGGAAACAAAGAAATAAGATATTTTATGAATACCTGTTAAAAAATTACGGCCATAAATGCTAATTCCCGTTCTTGTCAGCTGCCACTGTCTCACCGGCCCCCCGCGGACGAGACCATGTTTTGCCCACGCTGGTGTCCTGTCGGGCTCCATTTGATCCTGCATCCTGAACACGCGACGATTCAAATCAGAAAGTGGAACATCACTGCAAAGGTTTTGGTGTTTGCTTCTTGCTCTACACAAAGTACCAGTTTCCACGTCACTAACGTTTCCCTCTTCCCTAAAGAACGCCTTTTGAGCTCAAAGAATTTAACAGCAGACCTGAACTTCTCTCCTTTTGGACTACAGGAAGCAGAAGTGAAATCATTCAGGTCAAGGACAGCTGTAGGAGAACCAAGAATCGAATCCAGCAGTCCATTCCTGCGGCTCTCACCGCCACAGAGAAGACTCTGCCCCCGCTTTGCGGTTGCTGTCACAGAATCACAGGATGGTTGAGGTTGGAAGGGACCTCTGGAGATCATCCAGTCCAACCTCCCTGCTCAAGCAGGGTCCTCTAGAGCATATTGCCCAGGATCACATCCAGATGGCGCACGTTCACCTTCCAGCCGCCCTGCCATCGCTGCGGGGCAAACGGAGTGGCAGGGAAAACCTGCCCTGAACTCAGCTGCGAAAGATAGCTGTGACACGCTACGATCTGTAAGAGCAGAACCTGGAAACACAGGCTGTGAATAACAGTACCGATGAAGAAAAGAAAAACTCACAGGAGCTGTTATTTGCTGCTAACTCTCCGACCAAAGGTGGCCAAACTCTTGTCCCAAGATTAGTGCCAAGGTGGATTAAAGAGAGACTGCTCCACTGTGACAGTGATTGACGCTGCCAGCTACCAGTGGCCTTAAAATGAAGGATGAGGAGGCTGCACTGTCCCCCAAGACAAAAATCTTGTAATATGGACTGTATCTAGAAAAATATAAAAGAGGGCAGGCAAACATAACATTTAGCTTGATCCAGCACGTTTCCATTCAGCGATGCAAACAGGTAGGGGAATAACTCGTCATGCTGACAGGATGAAGCCAGCTATTGGAGCCGTGCCCCGAAGCCACTGATTTCACTTGCAATTTCAGTACTACCATGTTCTTATTATATATCAAATAGGGATATTTACACACAAACACCTGAAGCTCATGCACTCTACATTACAGTGATGGACGGACAGGAAGATCATCTCCTGAGTAGGTCAGCATGAGAGTAATTTTGAAAAAGGCCAAGATTTTACACTCTCATACCACAAGGATTTCTAGTATTAACATCCCACTATTGGAGTGGACGGTCTTGATGAGGCACTCTTGTGCCATGTACTCTTCTGGCATCCTTTTGTTGCTCCATTTGAACATGGCATCTGCTCCAAGGCTCCTTGGATACAACTCCAAGGCTCCTTGGACACAACTCTTCTCATTCTTTACAGGTATTCTCCTTCCCTGGATCCGGGCTGATAGGCGTTAACTAGAAATTAGCTGTAATTTCAATAGGTTATTCCTGGACTTCTGAGTCCTTTAGGAAGAAAATTTATACCATATAGAAAAAGTACCTACTTGAATAGCAGGCCCACTGTACATTGGGCAGGATGTGGACTCTGCCATGCCCGTACCTATTGCTGCTGTACAGGCAGGTATGCGTGGGGAGAAGCAGCAGAGTATCTCCTTTTCCGCTCATTTTTCAGACGTTCAATTACAAAAGGAGCATGAAAGGGATTTCTTTACCACGTGTTTGAAGAAGGAGAGAGCTAGAGAGCTTAATTATGTAACAGTATACCTACTCAGGGGCTCTCGCTGTCGCAGACCGTAGGAGGAAGAGAAGGCAAGTCACGGCCACCTCACCCTTCGCGCTGCAGCGCGGAGCGTTCGGCAGCTCTGCAGATACGGTTGCTCAGAAATCCTGGCATCTTGCGCATGCCGGAGACATGTTTCAGTAAAGCTTCTCCTGATACATACTCAAAAGCAAATATGTGGATTTAAGAATAGAGTATCAGGTCAGAAACAATAACGAGGCGCTGCGGAAACAGAAGCCCAGGAGGTCTCCTGCGAAGCAAGATGACCCACAAACACAGCTTGTCCTTTCTCTCTGTCCCCAAAAGTTTACCTTGCAATGTTGTTCTACAATTTGGCTGAACAACAGCAACACCAAATTAACTTCGAGAGAAAACAGTTGACACCCATTTGCTCATACTAAACCGTATCAGTGCATTCGCATGTAACAGTCTGAACACCGGATTCCTAGGAATATACGGCCTTCAACAAACGCAATAGAAATAGCAGCAGCACCACAAAAAAAAAAAAAAGGCAGTGACAGAACTATGATTTCTATGATTTCAAGCATGTTTTCAAGCAGGACTCCCCGCTGAACAGCTTGCCAGAACCCAGAGTTTTACCTCGTAGTTTCAAGTCTGAGAGGCTCACAGAGCTCAAGGGAATTCTGTCGACTGACATGAACGCTATCAATATATTGTCAATGACTTTTTTTTTTCTGTTAGAGAACAACCCAGTTGCGATATAGCTCATTCAGTATGAGAGCATTCACTCTGAAGAAGCAACACACCTGCAGCTACAATAAACCACAAACATACGCACTTGTCTTGTGAAGCAGTCCCCTCCAGGGAGCACGTTGCTCCCCATAATTATAGTTAAGATTCTTCTTAAGCTTCTCTTACAGAATCGTGCAGTAAAATATCCTCTATTTAGACCGTTACCTCTGACTGCCTACTAACCCCACAGCACACGTCGGGGGGGATACGTGGGTTCTTGACTGGCACAACACATCTAGAGTGGAGCAGGTTTGTTCTCACCAAAACGAGGTCTTACACTGCGCACCTCAACATGAGCAGCCCCGTCCTTTCCCTTGGACCATCCTGGCATGCATCTGACCCCTCTACGAGCCCACTCAAATTGCTCATCAGGCACAAACCTATCCAGTCTTCTCTCTTCCCCCACTAATTTGTTTTTTGTAGGACTACTGAGATGCGCTGGCTCCCCGAGGGGGTCCTGCGATGGCCAAAGCCTGCACAGAGCAAGCAGAGGAAGCACACAGCTGGCAGTTGAGAGGAGAAAGTCCCCGAGCAGTGAGCATCTCTTCACACCCCACTCTTGGATGCGAATGTAAAGGGGACTGTACGCCTGCAAATGACTGTATGTATGCAAGCCCAAGTGGGACGGGACGGTTCAGAGCCTTGTAATGGGGTGTCAGAACATACTTCTAGGTTGCTGAGTCAAACAGCAGATTAGAGGTGGCCAAACATGAAACATAGGAAATTAATGTAGGCGTCTGAAGAGGGGAAGATGCGGTCACATTTCTTTGAACTGTCCTCTAGGTTCTTGCCTCACATATCATTATGGTATGACTGCATCAGTTGTAGCTCTTCAGACCCCAGGAAGAGAGTATTTTAGATAGAATACAATTAATTTATTAGCTCTCAAGTCTCTGATAATTTTTACAGCAACCTGTCTCGGCCAATACATACTTTAACAGAAAAAAAGCAGTTCAAGAATCTTACATCCTCACTATGGAGCATCTCCAACCCACGTGGGACCTGCACAGGTTTGCACACCCCTTTCCCAACTAGCATTTTTCCTGCACCTGCAAGGTGTCTTACTCACCAACCCACCCAGGAAGAGTTTGTTGCCCAGATACATGACTCAAAACAAGCATCCAAGGACAGTGCAAGTGCCTGGGAGATGATTACTTGATTATCATCTGTTTCACGAGCACATGGGAGTGATAAGCAGTTATGCCTGGACTGTAATAGTGGTGACACTAATACAATTGCTGTTGAGATGGCACTATTACAAGTATTTAACTTTCCAGAGAAGAACAATAAATTACCCGTTATGCAGAAACATCCTAATTTTCATCCCATTAAGTAGCATTTTTCTTGGTTGGTGAATTTAAGTT